CCCCAAAACCCCAAAACCCCAAAACCCCAAAACCCCTTAAATTCCTATTTTATTGAAGTCATCTATATTTTATTTTAGGAATAAATGGCGACTATTATCCCTATAAATGTTGACTTAAATAAGCTGTTTGAAGCGAAGCTTACATATGGATTTGATCCACTTAAGGAAGCTATTGAGGTGAGACCCCTATAATTCTTCCAGTCTTTCCGAATGATGGCTTTATTCCTAATTTCCGTGATCCGATTCGAGTGGATCTTCTGAGGAATGCCGCGGTTATAATAATTTCTAGGGCTTGCTCAAAAACCAAGAATTGCATAACAAAATGATTCAAGATCTTGCTGAAAACCAGAAGGAGAATTTATCGTAAGTGAACTTATGCCATACCGGCTGAGCCAGTATAGAAGCACTGCTGGAGATAAAGATCTCAGAGACAAGTTGGATTCACAAAATGAGAAAATAGAGGGTCTTGAGAACAACCTTAAAGACCATGCTGATCGCATAAAAACATGTACATTTCCGGTATAACCTGCTTTAGTGGAAGAGAAATCAGATAATCATGAGAAGAGGATTAAGGAACTTGAGGATAAGCTAGAGAATAGCAATACACACTTCGATTACTCCCAAACCGTTGTGAATAAAGGTGAACAGAGAGCTATAGACAGGGAGTTAGAGAATGAGCTTAAGCACTTACTCTCAAGAGTCGATAATACCGAGAAGAATGTAGAGAAGTTGCTCAAGAAGAAGAACGATGTAGGCTCTACCATCCCTACCACTGAAACCCTCGAGAATGATGACGAAGATGACACTCGTGAGTCTCTCGAGAACCAGCTACAGTTGATCAAAACAAGGCTTTCGAGAGTTGAAGATTCTAACAGTAAGTTCTAATTATGAATTTTTCTTATCACTTTAGATGAACTTAAAAATACCATCAAGAATGACTCTGATGATAAGGAAGGTGACGAAAAGCCAGTGGACAGAAGTCATGCCGATGAAATTGACAAGAACATTGGGGACCTAAGACATAAGATCAAGGAAATTGAGGAGAAGCTAAGGAAGCTCAGAAATAGCCCCAGACCTCAAAGAATAATCCCCACAGGAGATTCTAAGGGTGCTGATTACTCTAATGTAATTTATGACCTTGGAGACAGACTTGAAGCCCTCGAGCAGGCTCATGACAAGACAGTGGAAAGGGTTGATGACCATAATGAAAGGATTGAGAAACTTGAAAAGGAAACTGACTCTCATAAAGAAAAAATTATGAACAATAAGAATGATATCAATGATCTTAAGGACACCATTGTTGATAAGGTAGATGCCGACTTGTTTGACTCTGAAATAACTTATCTGAAAGAACTACTCAACCAGATTGGGTCTTCTCCTGATAAGAAGATTGAAATCCCTCAAGTTACCCCTCCAAAGACGGGAATGAGCACTAAGGATGCGAATAAGCTGAAGGAACTCGCTGCAAAAGTTCCTGAACTAGAGAAACTGATCAATGATCTCTTAGAAAGACTTGGAAGAGCTGAAAAGAATATTGCAAATAATGATAAAAGCATCAAGGGGCATGATAAATCAATAGAAGAGATATGGGCTGAGCTTGCTAAAAAGGCTAATTCTAATGACCTCAGAGACTTATTCGATAGACTAAACCAGTTAGAAAAAGATCTTGAAGGAGTAATAGAGTACATGAACAACAATGATAAGGGAAAACCAACTGCTTTACCAATAATGGGAAAATCAGATGATAAGAGATTGAAGAATTTAGAGGCAAAGGTTGAAGACATGAGAAACAACTTTAATCAAAACTTAAGAGACTTCGAGAAGACCCTTGAAGCTCTTAACCGTGAGTTAAAGGGAACCAATAAGGAATTGAATGATCTTAAGAATGACTTACTTAAGCTCATGCAGAAAGTAAACACTCTTGAGCTAAAGATTGATGCTTTAGCAGATAAGAATAATGATGGAGGTGCTCCAATAGCTGTTCAGACTGGTATTGACCCTGAGAAACTTGAAGACCTCAAGAAGCAGTTGAATGACCTCAGAAATGATTACAGAAATTTCAAAAATGAAGTACTCAATCAATTTAACAATGTGAATAATGAGTTAGACAAGAAAGCCAATATTGAAGACTTAGAGAACTTAAAGAGAATGCTGAAGAACAAAATAGAAGACATAGAGAAAGCATTGAATAAGACAAAGAACGATCTTAAGAGAGCATTAAGAATCTTGAACGATAAGGTTGATACTATATCTGATTTTTAGATCTCAAGAGGAGTCGAAGCAAACCAGCCAAAAGAAGATAGAGAGGATGCTATGCTCTCTAAGAAGCCTCTGCAAGGCATTAGCTGTGCTTCATGTGATAAGAACTTGGTTAATTTACAAGGAATTCCAGCAGATTTCTACAACTGGAAGAAGTTACCACAATCAAAGGATAGAATCCCTATGGTATATTCAATATCTAACTTTTAGATGGGTCAAGGATTCTCAAGAATGCTTCAATCAATCAACACTGACTACCTTGCTCCGAATCAGTCACCCCTAAAGACATCATACAATGGTTTTAAGGAAGAATCTATTAACTCAGGAAGATCACACCATAAGAGGAGATCCGAAAGCGCATCTAGAAGAGGTAATCTCACTATCTAACACTTTAGCTAATATGCAAGTTGAAGATATCGAGACTGAAGCTGCTAGTAAGATGTTGCCAAGCATAAACCAGAGTAATACATAATGTGTCATATCTAGGCAAACAATAAGAAATCGATCAACCTATTCAATTCGATTAAGATCCTTAGGGGTTTTGGGGTTTTGGGGTTTTGGGGTTTTGGGG